TAAACTTCTCTTTACTTTATACATTTCGAAATCAAAATGGTTATCTAACGTAGCGACTTACATAGGTCAGCCAAGAAGCAAGTTCCTTGGCTTCTCAAATTTCTGTTCCAAAAGAAACAATATAATTGCCACTGTAGTCATAGGTGGCTATATATGTAAACGTAACATTGTAGCTGATGTGTACTAAGTGTGAACTCGATTGCTACGATCAGATATTACGGTCTGTTAAACATGGAGCATCGTGTAACAAACAAACATGACATCACATTGCGAAAGAAAAACATGATCGAGTAATATTTTTCTTCTTATCACAACTACATCTTTTTATTCGATTTTAGGAGTAAATAAGTATTTTAGTCATTTCAAAAATATTGATTTATAAGCTTAATTCCCATTTTTAAATTCTTTTTCCATTCGTTCGTATCTTTTTTTTTTTTCTTTTTAGAGCAATGTGGTAGGAAGTCGTTTACTTGTTTATTAACTGAGTCTGCCTAGACAGTGAATCATCTTCAACTCATTTTCCAACATATCGACGAAAACAACAAACGAAAAACTTCGCCGCGGAGTTTCTGCATTGTTAAAGAGTCGCGCGAGTGTCTTGGAAGTGTGTCGAGGAATCCGGACAGTTTGATACATGCCTATTTATAGGAATGAAGATTCATTACGCGAGGTCCCGTTTCGCGTGTATCGGCGGCTCGTTTTAGCGTTGTGCAACATCGTAACGTAATATTTCCCGCGAGCGTGCTAGTCGCGAGACGTTGAGAAAATTGCTTTCCACTCCGATCCTTTTTCGAAGTCTCTATGGAGATTCTCCTTCGTGGTCCCCGATAATGTACTCATTCAACGATATTATAGTGGCATACATGTATAGTGTACACTACTGTTCATCAGTGTACGAACATTAAAGTAAATTTTTGGTAATAGCGTATAAATGTTTTATCATAATACAAACTGATAGTAAATTAAAAAGTGGAAGCAGTATTTACCACCTTTTTATGGAATTCATAGGTAATATTGATTTAAAATATTAGCAATGGTATATTATATGGTATATAATGTTATATAGTATATCTTTCTCTACAATCACATTAATGAACTCGTTGATTTTAGATATCACTCCTTGAAATAATGTTTGTAGTTTTTTAAATAGCGAAACTATTTCACAGCCTTTGGTAACGACGTACGTCGATTTTATTATTGCATATTGGTTTTTAAAAACCAATTTAATCATATCATAATAATCTAATATTTCGATAATAGAATCTTGTTGATGATCCATTAACGATAGGACACTGTCAAAGGGGGCGAGATTAGACACGTAAGTAATATTTTTAGTAGAGAAAGAAATTTTATAAAAAAGAGCACGTAAATCAGGGAAAGCGTGGGTGGGAGGAATAGTATGTAGTTCGTCATCCCTCTCGGTTCAGTTCGGCTAACTTCGCCGCTTATGCAACAGTCCCGCGTCCTGTGCACGTGCTTGCGACCACGTGGACATTGGTCACGTTACGCTGGCCAATATCACTGAAAATGGAATTATTCTTACGTAGCCGCGTAAGCTCGTAACGACAAAACCTGCCGGTCCCGTAGAAGCCACGATGACCGACACGTGAACATCGCTTTTGGATTGCCGGGTCTTCCTATACGGGTAAAGCTTTTTTCTTCTTTTCTTCCATATTTTCTATTATCGTACTGTATATTACGCCCTAACTGTAATTTAACATGCAGTTACATTTGCAAATTGTAAAGCCCGGCAGCAGTTTGTAACAAGCAACGATTGAGAGAGCAGAAGTACGTATGTATTTAGAGCGATGCAATGGTATTTCGTATATCGTGGTATTATTTGGTATATCGTGGTATTATTTGGTATTTTTTGCAGGAACGGAAATTCCATTTTTATTTGCAGCGAAGTGGTTGATGCTGAGGTTTCGAGGTTTCGAGCTTCAGATTTATGGTATTAGGATATGAAAGGAAGGGTAAATAGAGAAATATCTTATATAATACAACAAGGGAGAAGATTGCTAATCGATTTTCATGATTTTGGCTATTATAATAATTCTGGCGTTTATAGTAATTCTTTTATAGTAATTCGTTTATAGTAATTATTATAGTAATTCTACCGTCGATCTAATCTGGTGATCGAATCTACGATCGTAGAACAACGAATGTAGAAATATGGCGGAGAGGGAACGGGTTGTGGATATGTTGAAACGGGATCATGTCGAGAGAAATGTTCGATTGCGCTCACGACATGCGAATGCGGAGCAGAGAACGATGTATTATACGGCGTAGCTAAGACGATAATTATATGCTGAAAGCGTTGCCATTATCTAACCATAACTACTCCTACCTAGATTCTGTACACAATGCGTTTGGATTGGGACCTTTAACAGAGTTTTCGTTGCCCAACGCAGCTGCCCGTCCATGTTGTAATCCAATGAATGAGCTGAATTATCGTTAACGGTAAATTATAAGGCAGGAAGTTATTCAGCTCTGTATGTTCGGCATCTAGTATGTATTAATTCGCTTGTCCCCGATGCATCCTAACGGGTCCACGGATATCGCCCAGTTTCGTTTAATAACATTGTAATGTCGTTTACTGTCGATATTCGCAGAACGATGAATGAGAGATGCTTTTAAGCTTGTATTTATGCTTGTTCTTGTGTATAGGATATGCTAAAAAGACACCGTTTGAAGTATGTCAGATCAAGTCAAGTAGCGTAAAAAAAAGAATTGGATATTCCATATTAAATCAAAATCGTCTAACTAAAAACAGAACCGAGACGAAGACCATAGATACAATATAAATATTTGTATAAATTTGACGATCCGATGGAAACGATGACGTACCCATGGCGAGTGTTCCCATATAAACTCCGTAAATATTTATACATAATTTATAGGAACTGAAATCTGATCGCATGTGTTCGACTCTTAAATATTTCTGTATCATCAAATACAAAAAAAGAACAGTTTTATCAAAGAAGCTGAAAGATCGGGAATTTTGTAGCGTATTTTGCGATTTCTCAGTGCTACAGCAGTTAACACGAATGGCATAGCCTGTGAAGTGGCGAGAGCCTATTATGTCACAACTCCTAGTTGCAGTGGCAAGGTAGAGACAGACCATGAACCTAAGTGCAGTCAGCACGTTGCATGGTCGCACGTGACTGGTTCTGCGAGTGCAGCCTTTTCTACGTTCCTTCTTTCCTTGCCTTCCGATCGATTTTCCTCGTCACGCACGATCGCTGTTTCGCGTTTCTGCTTTATTCATCGACTTTTCCGCAATTTGGAGCAGGATCTTGTCGCATAATTCGCGTACGGAGACTGTCAGTTGTTTACGATATCGAGACTTGATCGTGATAATACTAAATATTTAATATTGTATAGCATATACTGTATGTTTTAACACATTTTTAACACATATAGTATATATGATCAGAATTTTCCACACGTGTTTCGATACTTGATTTTTCTGAGCCTATGTGCATGTTACAAACTGTAACTGTAATTCGCTTCGTGCATACGTATTAGCCCAACCGCAGGTAGCAATAAAATCTCACTATCGATAGCGAAGGTATCTCTTAGCATGTATTGGCGAATAATCTTATCTAAATACCAATGAATCGTCGCAATCCGCCAAGGTGGATCAGTTTCCCGCCTCCATCAGCTTGCGTAATCGAATTCCGTTAGTCTCGCTTTTTTCTTCCAACGTCGAGCAATAATATCGGGCACGACGATTAAACGTTCAGGACGACTGAATACGAAGCAGGAAAAGCAGGGAAATCGCCTGATCCCGCCGAGGGAGCACGATGTCGACCCTTAAATCCAATTAACAACGTACCCTTCAGCTCAAGCGCGATAAATAATCGTGACTCGTACCCCTGTGGGACTAAACGCCGTCAGAATTTGTTTTGTATCTGTTTCGTGGCACGAGATACGTTTCTATACCATTACACGACGTCCAACTTTGCATTCGAAATCGATTCAATTTCACGCGATGGATTCTCGTTTCGCTACGTTGTTTCGTAATGTTAGTATCGAGAGTCTCTTGAGTTTAATAGAAGTAAAAAAGGGAAAAGTTCAATGTGAGATTGGGTTAACATGGTTGACGAGGATGTTGTTCTTTTTCATTTCTTTCTTATTTACATTTGCCTATCTTTGAGGAGTTGTTAGAATTTTCTTTCTATTAAAGCTTGTAGTTCGTCATAAATGAAAAATGCTGTAACGAAACATTCCTCGCACTTCTTTCCGATATATTTCTAATCTTTACATTGACGCGAGTTTTCTAACCTTTGGAAAACCACAATACAGTTTTTAGATCTATAAATTTCTACAAAATTTTTCTTTCAATCTTTGCTATGCTTTTTTTTCAAGAGCTTCTTTTTCGATATTTGTAAAGAGATATTTTTTATATTTTCACATATTTCGGGTAATGTGTCGAAGTACCTTTCGAGAAAATCTTTAAACAATTTTAAAAAATTTCCATTTACACTTACCAAGTTTATCCATATTTAAATGTACACAAATTTTGTAATTTTTGGAAAATTGTAATACGATCTTCCTATTTTCTGCCAATCTATAGTACTTTCACGTATTTCTTTTGAAACGAAGTTTCTCAATTTCCAATGCAATGCACTATCGATCAGATAGGAATTTCGCGAAAGACATTCGGTTGTATAGCAGGAAAATGAGGATTTCGGTTCGTAAAATCGTTCACGGTTCAGATGATACGCCCGACTGCAGGCAAGAGTGCTGTTGAGGCACACGTGCGCGCAATTAGTCTAACATAGGGCGCACGTATGACTCAAGCCAGCAGAAAAGTTGAGCAAGAAGTTGCCTCGGTATCATACAAACGTTTTCCTTTATTGTTCGCGCAATATTATATATTTCTTTTTTAAAACAACAATATTTATACACCTTCTTCTTATCATTTTTAATTAAATTTCTATTCATATAATATCAAGTCATAAAGAAATATAATATTTCAAATATGTAAAATGACATTTCTAATTATCGGTATAATTTAATAAATACGAAAAAGTTAATAAATAAATCGTTGTTATGTACAAAAATATTAAAATCAGGATTGGTGACCAAATGAATTGGGTTTACGAGGGCGAGCTTAATGCGGTTCCATTATCATTTTGTTCTACGACGTGATTTATTCCTTCCTTTGCTCGATGAGGTAACGGCGTGCTCATCGTTGCTGTCTTCCGAGTTCTCCGAACAATCGCAACCCGAACACGAGCACCAAGATGACGACGAACTTCCTGGAACAGTCACGATTCTCCAATCAATCTTGTGCAAATAGATGCTGATCGATTCGTGAGAATTCAAATACAAATAGTAATTCGTTAAGAGTAAAAATCATTTAGTCGCCTGATTGAGGAATGAAAATCAAATAAGATGTTGTAGATGTAATTTTAAGAAAAGCTTTTTCTTATAAAGAAGATGCAGGTATCAATATTCAGAAAACTTACTTCTCCTATGTCGAAGCTTTCTCTTTGAAGAATTGTTCCTCTTTGAATTCTTCTTCTTGCATAACAATGCAATTTGTTTCTTTGCGTTTGTCTTACTTCTTCGTCTTTTGGGTATACTTCTACAGGTGCGGTGACTATTACTTGAATGATCATGATTTGAACGATCACGCTTTCGACGATTGCAATTTGAATTACAGCACCGTGAACATTCGGAGTCTGAGGAAGACGATGATGTCGAAGAGGAGTAAGAAGTCGAGAGTTCTGTGCTGTCCGCCGCTCTGATGACCTTACAGCGACAGTTTGAACTCGATCCGCTGTTTAATTTCTTCCTTGAACTCGAGCTCCTGCAACTGTTTCACAACTTCTCTTATCCCTTCGTTACTGAACCTCTAATTGCTGAAACTTTATTAGGTATTTGCCGAAAATGTTATAGAGCAAAATATTGTGGAATAAAATATCCGTTGAAATATATATGTATAATTTATAAATATAAAGATAATTTTGTTAATTAAATGGAAGATCTAAAGATAAAAAAATATTGTTTGTTAAGTTACGTGAACATTTCTCAAACTTTATTCGTGTTTCATATATTTAGGACGGTAGCTCTGTTGAATCCGCTGTCGTTGTGACGTAAACATTTTTCCTATTTGTTGATGAGTCTCTTATGGATACAAGGGCGATCGGGCAAAATAGAGTAACGTTCACTGCTGAAGGATTTAGCAGAAAATGTTTGTTAAATGTTTCAAAAATTGAACATAAAATATTGTAAAATATCTAAAAATAATTGCATACAACTAAATAATCAACATACAAGCTGCTTGTTAAAATCGGAAAATTCTAACAAAACATTCTTATTTAGTATTTTGTACCATAAGAGAGCTCTAGAAATGCGGATGGAATAACAGATTTATAATAGATTAAGTGCAAAATAAAAGGAGCAGGAAGCGTTACATTGTACTAAATATCAGCTGGTGTTCTAAGATTTATGGTCAGAAGTGGTATACAATACGATTATAACACAAAAATGAATACGGACAACAAAAAGTTAGGATCTATATTATTTATTGAGTATCTCTCACCTCATTTTATATTTATTATGTTAATGAAATCGTACAACCGATAATAATTAAATTCGTCGCCGAATTAGGACCTTAAAATGTTATCACAGACACTCACTTACTATGTTTATTTATTTATTTTCGTTATTCATTATTATTTACCTAGTATATTATAATCGTAATACGTGTCAAAACTGAAATAAAGCAAGTCAAAAACGGCAACGATACTCTTTCTTTCTATTCCGACACTCGAATGATTTCCGTTGTAAACTGTTTCGATTCTTATGTACACAATTCTCACCTTTCTCAAGCCATGTACTTCTTATATATATATATATTTAGGAAATACATCCGCGGTATATTCAAATTTCAAATACATTCGATATTTGCTTTCGTCTGAATATTTAAATGAAAAGAAGAATACAATAATAAAAGTAATAATGGATTAAAAAATGATTTACGTGTGAACTATTGCGTGTAATATCTACGCCATACGAAGGTTATCTGCATTTTTAAAAGTAATCAAACTCTCTGTTTGATCCTTTGCAAATTTTCAAATGTTTCTCTTCGAAGTTCATTGCAACTTGATATCAATCGTCGATCGACGCAAGTTATCACGGTGAAATGATCGAAGATCGGTACAGTTAGTGCAAAAGTCCCGGTCATGTGGAAAACGTGCTTGTACTTAGTTATGCAAGCGAACAATGACGCAATTCTGATCCGATCGCGCTCGTTACTGAACCGATCCCTGGGAAATCTTGAATTACATGCTTTATACGCGGCTAGAGGAGCTGAAAGGGCGACCACTGCGCCGTCACGTTAATTTCTTCGTTTCTATCGATAACCGGTCTGGCCTTGCTCCACTGGGTTTATGATTCTGAAAGCACGATATGATACGAGTTATGGTATATATCACATTGTGACAATTCTATTGGATCTTCGAACAGAGGCTTGTTATGTGCAACCTACGAACGATTATAACTATTATAACGATTATACGATAGATTGGATATACAAATTTACGCAAACTTATATTTTTCTCAATGTAATATAAAAAAATAGAACCTAGGTAGCCAATTGTTTTACTTATTAAATATTATAACGAATACTATATTTTGTCTAAAGTCCTTAACAATATCCATGATGAAACCTTGCGAGGTGGCCTAATCTCTGCTAAACAGTTAAACAAACAAGACGCAAAGTTCGATAATTCCGCTAGGAATAGTCACATACACATGGAAATGGGAAACAAAGTTGAGGTGTACTTTAGTGGAATAGCCGAGGGGTGACTCGACCTCCTTAAGGCACGTGAACGAGGGTGTTAGAAGTTTATGGATGAGGGGAATGACGTGACTCAACCTCGAGGATGACGTAAGAAAGAAAGGGACCAAAAGGGGATCAGGAGAACATCCCACAAACTCGTATCTTTAAAAACCTTTTCCGGTTTCCAGCCGCACTCGAGCATATGCTGATTTGGAAATACGCCCTGAGTCAGTTTCTTAAGTTGCTACAATAACCGGCAACCAGATTTACATAAAACTTTACCTTTGAGAATGAATTCCATGTGAAAGGGAACCGATCCGTCTTCGTGTGACATTTTACCCGTCGTTGCTTTCATTTACTAGCACGTTGTTCACTCTTGCTCTCGTTTCAATTTCCTAACCAAGCGTGGAGGCATTAAGATATTCAAGAGTCTACAGTCTAGAACTTTTAAAAGATCGATTTCTCTGCATACGATGGCTGTAAAAAGTATTCTCACGCTATTATATTTATTATGAATGCTCGTAAAATTAACGTTGCCAGAAAAGTTACGACTTCTAACAAGGGATGAAACTTTAAAAGTCAAAGTGGAAAATCAACAGAAATGTACTTATCTATTCTCCTGTGATCTTCGTATGTTATTTAATACTTGGGCCAGCGTTTTATTCGCCTTTCGAAGAGAAACGCGATACTAAATGGAGAAACTCGATGTCATTAAGCATCGAGAATCCCCATGAGTCTCCGGCCGATTGTGAACGATTTCGTTTGCCGATGGTGAACAGAGAACGAAAGCGTGTGGCAGTACACTCTGTCGCCGGCGAACAGGTACAATGGAATTAGCTGGGACAGGTTAACGGATAATGGAAATATCGGGCCATTGTCGCATCGATCTTCAATCTGTCACGCGGCGCGGACGTCAAAACGCGAGACAAAGCGATCGCGTCTCTGCGAATGACAGCCACGGATGTATGTATGAATGGACGTCGCGTGCCATTATAATGGACATTCCAGGCCGGCATTCCGCAAAGTGTCCGGAACAAGTGGGGGCAGCGTAGAGGGCGAGGACACTCGTTCGTAGAACTGTCCTCTTTCGTTCGATCCAACTGCTTGCTTCTTCCATTTTGATGTAGTATTAAACTGAATTGCATGCAAGGGCAACAAATAAATTTTCGATTCGACTATTCGCGCAATGAGAAGAGTTTCGGCTTTGCTAATAACGTAAGGACAGCAAATAATGAATTCCAACGATAAAAAGGTCAGCGTACAGACGTTATGAAGGAAAATTGCGGCAATAAGGAAGACGCAAGGATAAAGTATGAGAAGTATACAAATGAAAAAAGCGAATTTCAAGAGTTAACTTCCTCGTTAATATTCTCGAAACTAAAAGCGTTTTCGGTATACGAATTAACGCTGGTTCTGTCAATAAGAAGAATATATGCTCGTTAACTTAAAAATTTTCGTGCAATTAATCGTGACACAATGCACGGGAATAAAAGTAAAAATGATTTTATGTTATAAAAATACTTATAGTTTTGGATAATGCAACATGTACGTTAATAACGGCGAATGTATCAAGCGATATTCAACTTTAATTTCGACTTCATCCTTCGTTTCACAAGCACGGCAATTCGTCCATTTACATCTTCGTTAACGTGTTCACAATCCGAGACTCATCGGTGTTCGGGGAAGTGGAATTTCCCAAAACCAACGAAGATGTTTTCACAGTCGATTGAAAGATCCCGTCAGAATCCGATTAACGAGAACTGTTTTTCGCTCGAGGATTTTTCGGTTCGAACCGAACTGAATCCATGCTGAATTCCTGGTCAACGGAGTCCTTTGAGAAGTGGCTGAGCATCAAAGGACTTTCTTATGCGTTTACGTGGAACTCGGTAATAGGAAGATGACGTTTATGAGACGGGCGGTGCAACAAGAAAACGCGAGCTATCTTTATCTCCAGCAGACGCTCTTGCATCCGGTCGCTCTTTTCATTCGTTCCCTGTCGTTCCTTCTCTTCCATCGTCGTCCTCATTCCTTTCGTTTCTACCACGTCTCTCGCATCGTTGTCGCTTCTTTCGGATCTTCGCCACCCAGACAATTTATTTTTCTTCTTTCTTTCAGTCCCTTTGGAAAGTTCGGTCCACCTGCAGGATCTGTGTTCTAGAATTAAACTCAACTTAATTTCAGTTGCATGAAATTTTATAAAATATATTACAAGTCCGATGGTACGCGATTGCATGAGATATTCCATCGTTGAAATGAAGTTGCGTACTTCAGGATTAAATTTCATTTAATCCAGGAGCCGATGCAATCTCCAAATTCCTTGAATTTTTAATCACAAAAAGTGTTTGTTTGAGATTAAGAAAGTGTAGGTGTTAGTTGATAATAAAGGTGAAAGACAGAATTCAGAATGGAACAAGCTCATTTCCATTATTTCTACTTGCATTATTCGTAGATCAGAGTGTTTACACGATCGGTAAGTTTATTCTTGAGTTCATCCTTGCTCCATCTGTCGCCGTATACGGGACTCCCTTCGATGCGGTAACATTTCGTTTTCTTATCGAAGAACTTGTATCATTATTGAGCAACATTATTTATATAAGGTTTTATCTCTGAGAGCGACAAACATGCTCGGCGAGAATTACATTTTTTATCAATATTACATAACTGTACAGAAGAATTATCGTAATCGACGTACGTAACACGTTTTACCCGCTAATGAATAAGCAGAACTGAAAACATTTTTAACAAGAAGGGCTTAAGTGCTCCCAAAAGATTTTTCTTGAAATAACCGTGTGTGCCATATGAGAACATACGTTTCGATATCAATGATCGTCCACGTAAGTATTTATTGTTTCAATCCACAGGCGCTTCGCATGTAGCGATCTTTAAAAATCAATACAGCCAATAAAAAGGAAAAGGAAGAAATAGGAAATGAAATCGAAACAACCATGATATGTATATACGATATACAGTAACAAATATATATTTGCAATTTTTAACTTTTACATTTCGTTTGCAATCTTTCTGTGAAGCAAAGGATAATAAAATAAAAGAAGACACGTGTTGCTGATTGGAAATGGATTATGAAATGGATTATACGCGAATGAACTTGTTACACGATCTAGTGAAACATAAAAATTGTCTTCAAGGATATAGGGTATACAACGGTGTACACAAAATTAATGATTTCAAGATTTTTTTTTATTTATTAAAATTTACAATCAATTCTCGCATTGAGAATTTTCAGTAATTTTTCTGGCGTGGCGCAGTGAAATGGCTAATTATTTATAATAAGTTAATACTTATTATAGATAAGTATAATGTGATTTCAAGATATAGCTACATCTTTTATTAGGTAGTTATCTCATCTGTTTATCCTGTACGAAAATAAAAATTCACTTCAATTCAATATGATTTGCGTACAAAAATAATTCTTTCCGGCATATCGATGCAAATATCTCAGTATGCGTCGTGAAGAAAAAATGCCATTGAAAATACTCGAAATGACAACATCCATTATTATAAAGAGAAAGAAACAAGTAATCCATCTTGAATAATTATACGCGGGACATTTCTTCTCCAATAGTCCCTTTTATCGAACGCGGTGTCGCGTTTTGATCGTACACGCTACGGGCCATTCACTTTCGTTTCGTCGGGGTGGTTGCACGATGAGTCGCGCGACGCAGAGAGGGTTGAAACGGCTGGGCGCAGCCGCGCTGACCGTTGTCCGGCCGCTACGTCGCGGATTATCCTCGCACCTGCACGATCGTGAGGAGCAAGACAGCGGTGTGAACGAGAAAGAGGGAGAGTTGCAGTCTGGTGAACCTGCTGGAAAAGACAATCAAACAAGATAAGGGGATCACGAGTTGCAAACGGGGAGTCCAGTGAGTAATACATCCACCCACTTTTAGCCAAGTACACTGAACCAACGAACTGTTACGATGAAAAGGGAGTTAGGAATAATTATTAGAATTGTTAATACAAACGATTGGTGAATTAATATTAATATTAATATATTGATTATTTAGTTTGAAGTTTATATTCTCCAAATGTTAATTAAAGCTGGTAAATATTCTTGTTATGTTCAATCATGGCGAGAATATTTAATTTACACAGTACTATATCTTTCCATCATTCAGAAATGTCGAAGGGTGGGAAACAAAGTTACGAACCATAATGTAGGTTAAATGGAATGAAACGAACGAGCAGGTGTTCAATACACGGAATCAGAAGCTCGCTGCATAATTAATAGTTTGCGGCGATCTTCGTGACAATCGGAAGTTAGCGATCGATAGTTACGAATGACTTTTCGTTACTTCTATATTTCATTAAAAATTCTTCGTAGTTTGTATCAGTTTCCAATTCATAGTATGCAAAAGTTGAAATCGTCTTGATGATACCCTAAAGTCCAAATTGTCGTTTTTATAAAAAAACATTGCTTTGAACTGAATACGCTTTGGTATCGAAATTTCCTTAAAAATATTATTTTTAGGGACCCTAACTGCTAATAATATGTCCTGAAGAATATAAAAGTATTTGTACCTAACGTATGTTTTTACAAGCTGATAAACGTTCTAATATATTTATATACAGGGTGGTTGGTAACTGGTGGTACAAGGGGAAAGGGGATGATTCTACGCGAAAAAAGAAGTGGAAAATATAGAATAAAAATTTTTCGTTTGAGGCTTTGTTTTCGAGAAAATCGACTTTGAATTTTCGCTCGGTACGCGTGCACTTTATCACGTCTCGTTATAACAGATCTCACTGTAGATTTAAAAAAAAATTAAAAAAAAAAATTTTTATTCTATATTTTCGACTTCCTTTTCGCGTAGAATCACCCCCTTTCCGCTTGTACCGCCAGTTACCAAGCACCCTGTATATGCTTAGCATACATGTTATTAAAACAGTCTAGTAGTAAAACCAAAGTAACAGTAAAAGATAGAAATCATATAATTCTGGACATAGAGGGTTATGCTGTTTATTATTCTTGAAAATTTGTTCAACTTCCAATTCCTGCTGGCATTCGCCGAATCACTCAGAGAATGTCAATAGCCATAACTTCTATCGTGGAAACTTTCCTGAGAACCTTTTACTGTCAACTTCCTCGAGCCACCCACTCCAACCGCGCCACCCCTGTTTAAGAAAGTGGGAAACACAAGCAACGTAAATTATCGAGTCGCGTAAACGTACCGGGTCGCAGTAGAGTAGATATTATGACGTTGAGGAAATTGCCGACCCGTAACGTCCATCCAAAACGTGCACGTTCTCGAGGGATCGTGTCGAGGCTGCAACAAGTCCCTCGAATGTGCTCAAGACCGACGATCCTGGCATTGACTCTCCGTCTCTGGAAGCACCGTGTATTATTTAACGCGCGGTAGATCAATGGCGTCTTATGGATCGGCCGGACGGTGGTTTTCCGCGATGGCGCGTAGTGTTTTCGCGATGGCGACGCACTTGACCACGACTACTCGACCAGCAACCTGGAACACCGCGTGAAGTCAACGTTGATCCTGAACTCACGAATCCTGAAATAAACTTGCAAAAGAGAGGATGCTAGCGAGTTTCAGGCGCGTGTTCAAGTGTTCCCTGCCAACGTGTCGCAATTTCCACTTTCCAGGGATGGAGAAGGCAGAATCCTCCAACGAGGACGATAGCAATACCGAGCTGGAGGACCGGGACCCTAACAGCTTGAACAAACACCTTCAGGTACGTTGTTGATAAAACGTTATTTATTATGGTTCTTTCATTCTTATCGTGTTATTTATATTGGTTCTGTGGCAGAAAGATTGGGGAATAAAACACTGGAAGAAATTCTTGCATTTTTATTCAAAATTTTTGTTTCTTATTTACTAGTGATATTTACAAATAAATTGTCAGCATTTTATTTACTAAAGAAATAGATTTTAAATAGACACTACTTTACCCACTAAATATTTAAATAATTTTTATACTTTTGCATATCGTATCCGCGCATTCTGTGCATTTTTGCACCATTAAACGTCGCATAAATGACTCATAAAGATTCCCAGTATAGCTACAAAAATCAAATTATAAATGTTTCATTACAAATTTTTCTCGCATATAAATTTAGGCTTATTATGCGAACAAAAACTAACGAATAATAGAGAAAATTGGTGAACTTCTATTATATGAACTATTTATTTTCGAATAAGTTAAAATAAACGGACTGTAATTGCTCTTGTTAGGGTGTTTTAAGTTTTAGGGTTAAAAGGTTAGTTTATTTATGAGTGTCGTATTGGAGAATCGAAGGGGAAGAAAGATAGAAAGACCTGATAATTTATTTACGAAAAGAATACATTTTTTTTATCGAGATAAGTGTCGTGATTACGAATTAAACACGCGAACTTGAGTACGGGGAAGTACGTATACATACAGTGACCTTGGCATTTAAAAAAAGCTGCTTGTCGTAGTTCGTAGAACATCTCGACTTACTCTAGAACTTTTAAAAATATCGTTCAACGAATTCTAAATGAACGAAGCAGTAGAAAGTAGGGAAAAGTGAAAAAGGCAGAAAGGCAGCAAAATGAAATTCTAGCTTAAAATTTGGGATATATGTCGTTAAGAAAACATTAATTGTGACGATTATTGTTATAATACAGGTGATGTGGGATGATGTGATCGGGGAACCGGAAGGAATACGCAGTCCGGAGTGCGCGTGGCGTCTAAGCGGTCACTGCTTCCGGTTGTCCAGAAGCTGCTGTTACGTGTTTCTCTCGGTCCTCATATCTCCTTTATTCGCCCTTTGCTTCGGTTTTACGTTTGCCTGCCTCGCGTTTCAGGTGAGTCGTCGACCTTTTTCTCTATTTTCTGATCGATCAGTGCTACCCACCGTTCTTAGCCTCCCTACACGATACAACCATTATACGAACATTATCGCGATGCTTACGATTATTTTTGTTTCTCAGCCTATTGGAAATGTAGGTCGTCGTTTTACTATCGACTTCCAGTGAAAGAATTTCTTTCTTTCTATATTATTTTGTATAAACATTTCTTAGAAGTTTCGTTCTTTTTTTTTCGAGCACACGTTTATACGATACTTAATATATCAATACATTGATGTGCGGAGCATGAAAACTATTATTTTTTAATCACGATAAATGTACAAGGCAATCGAAAATTTCTTTCCACAATTCGGTTTTTAATTTGTCAGTTGACGAGTAGAGATATTCGAATGTGTAAAGAGTAAATAAGATTTTAATAATGTTTTTAACGATGTTTTGGATGTACATATCTTATGTTTTGTAAGTATTCTAATGCTTATGAACGGGAATATATATTTTGATAATTTGTATTATTGCCCGCTTGTCACTAACAATTTGCCACTAAATTATAAAAATGACATTTAGTTGCAAGAAAAGAGATTAATAGAAGGAAATTTTCAGCATATATGGTGTCTGGCGCCATGCCTCCGCGTTTGGAAGATCAGCTGTGCGGCGACGAGGAATTTTCTCAGTGCTGTGACACACGCCATCGTGAAACCAATTATGGAATCCCTAGGCTATCTGTTTCACAATATTCGGGTGTACAATCAGAAGTTACCGGATGGTTTAGCACAAAAAGACGATATTCTCGTTGTATAAAATCGGATCATAAAACGATAAAGTTTTGCATTCACAAATCATCGAAGTGCCTTTTAAATCAATCAGCAACAATCAGCATAAAACATTCCACGAAACAAATCGCTTCTCTTAACGTACGTTCGTTCGTTTTCCAACCTGGAATCGTTTCTCATGTTTCCATTTCGTGATTGCAGTTTTAATGGTTTACGGTGTAGAATTGTCAGTAGCGCGATTCTCGTTAATATTTGATCATTAGATCTATATATCTATTGTTATAAAGTTTTATAAATAAAATATACTCTATGAAGAACACCTGTTGGAAGTCAATCAATCAATCAACAATCAAATCAATTGTTTAGCCATTTCAGAACCGAATTTCTTTTTAATCTGTGCGAGAAATTGTTCGTTGTCGATTATAAATAATAAAATCATATTTTTTCAAAACTTTAAAATTCGTATTGAGAAATTTTCACGGTTACGTCGATTTTAAATTTAAATTTCCCACCAAACAGCGGTGGCCATTCTTACTAATCATATTATCAAGATTACAAATCAGCTTGTTATTGTTATTTTATATTAGTAAACAACTTTTCGATAAAAGATTTAACAGAACGAACAAAAGCAAAGGATGTATGTGATTAATTTGGTATCTGGTATCTTTAAGGTCGAGTTAATCTCAGAGATAAGGTTATTAGTTCAAGCTACTCGCTGAGGTCAACAAGTTAGTTTTCTCTGAGTCGACTAGGAATATGGCAGGCTTCGCGCGAAGCTTTTTATTTTTATCGAGATGCTGTCGATTTTCTGGTGCAACTCCTTCGAGACGTATCCTTCGTTTATTTTATGCAAGTACAATTACGCCTGTGACAGTGAGGGAAGATAATTATCTACAATTTTTTCTACAATGGAAATGTTCTATTCATTATCACATATATCGTTTGTGTTACTTACTGTTATTATTCTTAATAAACGATTCAACTTACCAGAGATTTCAGTGTCGTTTGCAGTCAAAGGAAAGCGTAAGTCTTCTTTTTCATTATTTTGCCATTTTCACTTTGCTTTTACTTTTATTCATGTCTTGTCGGTCGCTCTTGCAGTCGCTTTGGAAATTTTGTAGTTAGTTGCCAGGTGGCAGCACGCGTCGGAAATAGAGATACCATGTTGTCCGACGGAAATATGTACATATACATTTGAATATGGAAAAAAATATCTACTAAACATAAGAAAATACATTATTCTTTATCTATTCTGAAGAGTTTGAAAATAGAAACAATAACTCGAATTCATATTCAAACAAGAAGTTCACAATAAAAAAAACATCCTTTAATTGATAAACTAGAATCTTCAATAAAATGTAGAACATTTTTTATTAATTAAGTCATCAAAAAACATCTATGCTACATTGCAAAATACATTATGCAATATATTCGATCAAAATTTCAAAAATTCGTTGCAGACAGGTCTGAAGACAGTATCGAGAAAAATGTAAAATCGTAAAACTTTTTTCTCTCAAAGTTCCTGCTCATGAAAACTTCATGAAAAATTCAAATTTTGTCGGACATATTCGATACGATATTCCACGTATATAAAACTTTAAGAAAATGAAGAAATTCAAAACATTATTTATCCAAATGGGAAAAGATGTTAGATTTGTAAATAAAAGAGTTAACGCTCTTAATCTATCGAAAAGTTTACTATCTTATACAGGGTGGTTGGTAACTGGTGGTACAAGCGGAAAGGGGGTGATTCTGCGCGAAAAAGGAAGTGGAAAATATAGAATAAAAATTTTTCGTTCGAGGCTTTGTTTTCGAGAAAATCGACTTTGAATTTTCGCTCGGTACGTCTGCACTTTATCACGTCTCGTCATAACGGATCTCACTGTAGATCGTTGTCTCGATGGAAAAATAAAAAAAAAAAGAAAAATTAAAAAAAAGTTTTATTCTATATTTTCGACTTCTTTTTTCGCGTAGAATCGCCCCCTTTCCGCTTGTACCACCAGTTACCAATCACCCTGTATAATAATTTGAAATTGTAAACGATTCAAGTTAAGTTTAATTTTCATTACTATTTTTCATAAAACAAAACAGCCACTTTCAATTGGGAAGATCCATTCGATCTCGAATCTCAGCTCACGCAAGATGAGATTCTGGTGAGAGATCAGTTTCGATCTTATTGCCGTGAGAAACTTTTGCCCCGTGTACTCGAGGCAAATCGCAAGGAAATCTTTCACAAAGAGATCATAAGGGAAATGGGTGAATTGGGCGCACTGGGCTGTACTATGAAAGGGTACGGCGCGGCTGGCGTTTCCTCCGTAGCCTATGGTCTCCTAGCAAAGGAAGTCGAGGCTGTGGATAGCGGATATAGATCTGCTCTGTCGGTACAATCTTCTTTGGTTGCTGGCGCTATTTATGAGCATGGGGATGAGGCGCAGAAGCAACGGTTTTTGCCAAAATTGGGTATGTTTGAGATTAAGGAATAAAAAAATTAAGATTAAGTATGGAAAAGGAGCGATGATGAATGATGAAAACTGCTGCTTTGTGGGTTCTGAATGGAAAGAATATTTCATAGGAATAATGATGGACAATAATAATAGCGGACAATAATGACGGATGCTGCTGAGAGTGTGTCTCGATGGAAAAATAAAAAAAAAAGAAAAATTAAAAAAAAGTTTTATTCTATATTTTCGACTTCTTTTTTCGCGTAGAATCGCCCCCTTTCCGCTTGTACCACCAGTTACCAATCACCCTGTATAATAATTTGAAATTGTAAACGATTCAAGTTAAGTTTAATTTTCATTACTATTTTTCATAAAACAAAACAGCCACTTTCAATTGGGAAGATCCATTCGATCTCGAATCTCAGCTCACGCAAGATGAGATTCTGGTGAGAGATCAGTTTCGATCTTATTGCCGTGAGAAACTTTTGCCCCGTGTACTCGAGGCAAATCGCAAGGAAATCTTTCACAAAGAGATCATAAGGGAAATGGGTGAATTGGGCGCACTGGGCTGTACTATGAAAGGGTACGGCGCGGCTGGCGTTTCCTCCGTAGCCTATGGTCTCCTAGCAAAGGAAGTCGAGGCTGTGGATAGCGGATATAGATCTGCTCTGTCGGTACAATCTTCTTTGGTTGCTGGCGCTATTTATGAGCATGGGGATGAGGCGCAGAAGCAACGGTTTTTGCCAAAATTGGGTATGTTTGAGATTAAGGAATAAAAAAATTAAGATTAAGTATGGAAAAGGAGCGATGATGAATGATGAAAACTGCTGCTTTGTGGGTTCTGAATGGAAAGAATATTTCATAGGAATAATGATGGACAATAATAATAGCGGACAATAATGACGGATGCTGCTGAGAGTGCGAGGATGTGAAAAATCTTTCGTTTCTTGATTGTCTACTTGTTTCTATGATCGAGAAGAGTATCTATGATTATTGAGGTGCCGTAAACAGAAGTGTCTTCTCCAATGAAATAGTCGACTTTCCTGATTACTTTCAGTGTCTGGTGAATTCATCGGTTGTTTCGGGTTAACCGAACCCAATCATGGAAGCGATCCAGGCTCCATGGAGACCAAGGCAACGTATGATTCCGATAGGAAGGTCTACAAACTTAATGGAAGTAAAACATGGTCAGTTCTGATCAATTTTTCGCAGAATATTCTAGAACTGAATTTCCATATGTTTTCAGTTCCTTTTCAAAAACAAAATTAATAAATTTTATTGCGATACAAGAGAGGCGCTGTTCGCTAGAAAACCGATTTCCAAACGTTTAGAAGCATTCTTCTTAATCGATTTCATTAAATTTAGGATTACAAACTCTCCGATCGCCGATATACTAATCATCTGGGCCAAATGCGAGGATGGTGTCATTAGGGGGTTCATCGTGGAGAGGAAGGGCAACGAGAAGGGCCGACTGTCTACTCCAAAAATCGAAGGCAAATTTTCGTTAAGAGCTTCCGTCACTGGTATGATCCTGATGGACAACGTGGAGGTGCCTGCAGAGAATCTACTTCCAAATACCCAGGGTCTCAAAGTAAGTCTGACAGAAGAAAATATCAGTAAAGAAGAATTTACACTTTCATAATACATATGCATCGCGAGTGATACACAAATGAACATACCACAATGAATATGAAAGATAAAATAGAGAAATACTCTATAAATTACTACCTACGCTATATTTATTAATTTAATTTTATTTATTATATTAAATTTATCTCAGTAGTTTTCGAAATATCGACTGAATCAGTTTGGATTGAGTCATTAAGTTTAATTCTTATATAGGAGAATGTAAAGTGTTAGAAACGAGAAAAATATGTTAACCTCGTCAAGCAAAAATAGAGGCTATCTCTATTTTGAAATTATATAGGATAAAAAGAAATCGGCTTAAGGCGTAGACATCGCTTATGAAGAAATATTCCTATAGGGACCGTTCGTTTGTCTGAACAACGCTCGATACGGAATCGGGTGGGGAGCTTTGGGTGCTGCCGAAACCTGCTTGAACATCGTCAGATCGTATACTCTGGAAAGGAAGCAATTTAACAGGCCGCTAGCTGCTAACCAATTAGTGCAAAAAAAACTGGCTGACATGATGTGTGACATCGCGTTCAGTCTTCAGGCTTGCCTGAGGGTGGGCAGGTTGAAGGACGAGGGCAAGTAAGGGCTGTGTGATAATTTTTCATCAAACAGGATGCAAATTCTGAACGTCAATTGGTAGAGTGCGGATCAGGTCGCTGATACATAATTAACGAATAAATTATTAGTTTAGAAGAAAAGTGAAGATGTCTGTCAATTAATTAGCGTTAGATCGCTTGACTATATTTTGTATATATAATATAAATATAATTTTGTATGCTAGAGCGACACCGGAAATGATCTCTATGATAAAGAAGAATTCTGCTACGATGTCCCTGGAAATCGCGAGAGTTGCCAGAGAGATGTTAGGTGGCAATGGAATATCGGACGAGTATCATGTTATTAGACATGTAATAAATTTAGAAAGCGTTATTACCTACGAAGGTATGTAAAAGAGAGAGGACTATTTGAAAGTAATATTTGTATAATATTAGATCCTTTGACAAAGGATAAAAGGCTATTGTTTAATACCGTTTGTCGTAGGTACGAGCGATATCCATGCTTTGATACTTGGCAAAGCTATTACTGGTATACAAGCCTTCTCTGCGTAAACAGTGAATCCAGAACAGTGAATCAACCAAAAAAATGTTCATTCATTATATAATTACACTCTTTTTATACAAATTACATATTTGATGTTTTAATAACAATTTTTTTTAATAAAATTTGGTAAAAGAACAAGGACAAAAAGGAGTATTAAAAAAAGAGAAAGAAAATGAAACGAAACAGAGGATGATTGAGTTAGCAAAAAGAACTTAAAAGATCGAAGATGATTCGAATTGTTTTAGTGAAGTTTGGTTTTAGGTTTCTCTTAATTTTTATTTCGACGCTATCGAATTGCACATTATTCATCCTCCTCGTTCTTCTGTTCGATAGTCAAAAGGGAGCGTAAAACAACAAACGAGCTTCACCTAAAGATCGGTTATTCAACAAGGGCGTGCCACAACACAAGCGACTCCGATTAATCATAAATAAATTAAGTTTAATTGCTAAGTAATAAAACGTTAATTACATATGTCAATGATAATTAATTTAAGTACAACACACGTCTCGTGCAAAAGTGTAAAGAAGTTTCTTTTTCGTGCTACACTCAATTACCATTTTTTTTATTTTTTTTTTTTTTGTGTTTTTTATCATTATCTTGTTTGTTTTGGTTTATTTGGTTTGGTTTGGATTGGTTTGACTCTCGCCTCGATATATGGTTTTTTTTACCTCTTTCCTCCATTTTTTCCCATCCTTCTATGTCTGTGTATGCGTGTACTTATGTCCCTGTATCACTGTGTGTACGGTACTTTTCTCTTTTTCTCTTTAAATGGTTCTCGACTACAATAAGCTCTTGGTAAAACGTAGTAACATCGTAGTTTACAGTAGTTTACAATCGCCCTCCGACCCGCCAGAACTTGTGTGTCTCTATTACATAGTTACACGTTTTCGCATGCTGCAATCGAATTTCCCGCTCGATCGTTCGATCTCCATTCCCCCCCTTTTTCGCGTTGTCTGCTATTTCTTTCGTCTATTTTCTCTATATTCATTAATCAATAGCAAATGAAAAGATCGAACGTTTCGCAAGTTTGTTTAACAATTATGGTAGCATCGATTTCGTTGGATTCTCGATCTCTGGATCGGTCGATCGACGAGCGGATGCTAACAAACTGGTCACTTACAAGAAAAAACTAGCCTCTCGTCGATCCCCCCGACGGATCGATCCACACGATCCTACGGGAAACTTCGATTCCATCATTTACAAATTACCTCTTTCTCTCTCTCTCTTTCTCTCTCTTACACACACACACGCGCACACACACACCCTCTCTCTCTCTCTCTCTCTCTCTCTCTCTCTCTCTCTCTCTCTCTCTCTCTCTCTCTCTCTCTCTCTCTCTCTCTCTCTCTCTCTCTCTCTCTCTCTCTCTCTCTCTCTCTCTCTCTCTCTCTCTCTCTCTCTCTCTCTCTCTCTCTCTCTCTCTCTCTCTCTCTCTCTCTCTCTCTCTCTCTCTCTCTCTCTCTCTCTCTCTCTCTCTCTCTCTCTCTCTCTCTCTCTCTCTCTCTCTCTCTCTCTCTCTCTCTCTCTCTCTCTCTCTCTCTCTCTCTCTCTCTCTCTCTCTCTCTCTCTCTCTCTCTCTCTCTCTCTCTCTCTCTCTCTCTCTCTCTCTCTCTCTCTCTCTCTCTCTCTCTCTCTCTCTCTCTCTCTCTCTCTCTCTCTCTCTCTCTCTCTCTCTCTCTCTCTCTCTCTCTCTCTCTCTCTCTCTCTCTCTCTCTCTCTCTCTCTCTCTCTCTCTCTCTCTCTCTCTCTCTCTCTCTCTCTCTCTCTCTCTCTCTCTCTCTCTCTCTCTCTCTCTCTCTCTCTCTCTCTCTCTCTCTCTCTCTCTCTCTCTCTCTCTCTCTCTCTCTTTGTCTCTCTCATTTATTCACACATTCGTTTCCGTTATTTCGAAAATTTTTTGCAAAATCAACGACACACCGATGTTCTTGATCAGGTTCGTGAACCAGGTTCTGATTATGTTTCACTCACGCATTCACTCTCCATTCATTCCGTATTCGTGTATTCGTGTGTACGTGTGTCTGTGTGTCATTCACTAATGAATACATAAGTGTAAACAATAAATAATGTTTTTTTTCATCTTTACTCGCGTAAAATCTACGATCCTTTGGTATGTTCACGCGGCGATCGAAATCGATCCGCGGTCATCGATCCAGTCGGTCGTCCTTTCGTCAGCGAGAAAAAAGGAAAGGACGCCGCTAAAGCGAGGGATCGAGGATCGATAATCCCTCGATCCCCTCGTTCCAGCTACTTTCTACACACCTTTCGTCTCTTCCGTTTCTTTTTTTCCTTATCTCTCCACTTTCCCATCGATCATTTCACTAATCGTGCAGCTCCGCGTCTGGTCGCCACTCTTTTCCCTCCTCAACAAACGTTCCGCGACCGTACGTAGCGATACGTTTTCTCACAGCGCAGTGCATTTTCGCGTTTAAAAACTCTAAAAAGGAGCCTCGCCCCGTGAAAATCCCCTCCTCCGTCGCGTCATTCTTCCCTCATCTTTCTCTTTTCCTTCTGTCCTTTCAAACTTTCCCTCTCAATTTTCCATTGAAAAAGAGAATACGTTCGTTCTACGATTTCGAAGATATTCCCTGCTTTTCGAATTCTCGAATCAAACCCCCGTTCCCCTCCCTAACCCGGATACCGACACGATGAACCCTCGTATTATAATAAATATAATAATGTATACTTGCTTTTGCACTTGTATTTTACATTATTTCATCTCTGATTAACTAATCGATACCTTATTGTCGTACGAACCGTTCACCTGTTCTCTTTATCCCATTCATACCTTCTTCTCTAGACTTCATTTTTTTTTCGCTTTTACTGATGGTGTTATGTGTCTTATCCCCGACCATTCGCCCACAATTCTCAGCTCCGATCAACAGATAAATAGTTCATGAACGGCTTTGAAACGCGGCCACAAGTCCTCGGACTTCATCCCTAGATTTTACGTTTCTGCTCTCCGGTTTGCTCGCTACTCATACTATAATTGGCTCATGGAGATTAGAGATAAGATGTCGCGATGATTAATAGGATCGACTAATTGTTAATATTACTCTGAATTGATATTCCTTTAACGTGATCAGGAGATTTCTTTTTCTTAGATTTTGTCGATATTTATAAGTATAGCGTCGTTTACGATAATTAAATAGTACGTCAATTGACATCGTTCTAATCTGCAGGATATGTATTATATGAAGACTGAAATGATTATGAAATTAATCGAAGTAGATTATATTTTCATTAATACCATAACGATAGAGTATTATAGTTTGAATTTTTGTAAAATAATCGATCAGTGATAAACTATGTTATACATAAAGTAATATTTAAATAATAATAAATAATAATACATAAATAAAGTCATGCAAAACAGCGTTAAAGAGATTTCGAAAAAACAATAAGCACAAGAGAACGTAACGAGAAAAATTATTCTAGAAAAAAGGGAGTCTCGTTCGATGGAGCGAATACTAGTCGAGTAAAGAGCAAAAACCAGCCCCCTCCCTGAACCATTCGTCATCTTGACGCGTACTATATAATAATATAATATATTACTTAACATTTGTCCAACGTCAATCCCCAAAACAATTCCACCCCTGTCCAAGGACTAACTTTTTACGGCTACGCTCGTTCTATTCTTTCACCCTCCTCCATCTTCCTCTAATTTCCCTCCCTCCTCCTCTTTCTTTCCCCTTTCGTCCTTTCTTTTCTATCGATTTAAAACTCGCGCGCCCGACTTGCGTCGTTGCAATATAAAAAAACGCGTATACACACACGGACCCGAAATAGATTCTCTTAGTCTCTACGGTTGTCATTTTCTTTTTCTTATTCCCTTCCTTATCGTTATTATTATTTCTGCCTTTTAATATATATATTTATATATTTATATATTTATATTTATATATAATATGTTCATTCGCCTACGTCTCGAGCTTCATACGCGCCACCTCCTGTTCCGTTTCATCGCTCCCTAAACCTTTCGTTCATTCGAAGGGTCGCTAATGCTCGTCGAAGTAATTCTTCCCCCTATAGTCCGCGTTATAGTCATTCAGCGATCTCGTTTGGTTTTCTCTCTTCTTGTACAGTTTACGGTGTTTACATGTGATGCCACCATTTTCTTTTATTCTCTTTCTTGCCACTCGTTTCCGCCGTCGATCGTCGATTCGAGACGAGGTATTACACACCGCGAACGCGTTACATAAATAGATCATTGATTCACAGACATTTATCTTCGTCTCATGCTCGTATTGTTTCTCACCCCCTTTTGTGTTCTTTCTCTGTGTGTCGTTCCGCGGCCCGCTCTTGTCGCAACTTAATGCGTACGACAATCGTCGATCGATCGAAACCGTGGATCGACCGACGATCGAGCTTCCTCCATTGCTAGGGTCTTTTTCTCTGTATTAAATTATACATCCCTCCCCGAAGCCCATCCCCACCCCACCC